GCTGTCCCCCAAAAAGGGGGCCCAAGGGACAAAGCCACCCCCGAGCCTTCAGCTGCAGGAGCAGCGAGCGTGGCTTGGCAAAAGCCCACTCGGCCCAATCCGGATCCCAGAAGAGCCCCTGCCCTTTTCTTCCAGCCGGGAGGGGAAAGACACCCCCCTTCCCTCCCCACGCGGGACCTCTAGCACCAAGGCGCAGCCGCATGGAAGGTGTAGTCCTCCTCCCCTTCTTCCAAAGGGGGGGGCGGAGGAGGAGGAACTGGGGAGGGGGTCGCCCGAGAGGAAGCCTCCTCCCCTCCTTTCCCCTCTCCGCAGGTCAGGGGAGGAACCTACGGAACTGGAAGCCACGCGGCGGGGGGACGGAAGGGGGAGGGGGCTTTTTAACCCCCTCCCCTTGGAAGATCGCACCGCCCCACCGGTCCATCCGCTCGGCTTCCGCGGCCAACCTCTCTCTCTCTCTCTCTCTCTCTCTCACTCTCTTTATTTTTCCCCGCGTGGGAAGGGTGGAAGCGAAGGAGGCTGATTGCAGGAAGCGGGGGGGGGGGAGATCATTTGAGTGGGGCGGGGGGCTCCAGGCAGTCGGCGAGGGGCTTCTGCTCCTCCTCTCCACCCCGTTGCAGGAAGACCCGTGATGCACAGCCGCAAATCGCGCGTGAGGCGGCTCCCGGGACGCGCTGCTCCCGAAACGGAACCCGAAACGGGTCCAGGTGAGTGATGGGGTTTTTTTGGAGGGGGGGGGAGTGCTGGGGGGGGGTTCCCACAGCCGACCTTCCGGCCTGGCTGCACGTGGTCCGGCCGCTTGCAAAAAAATTAAAACAGGGAGGGGGGAGAGGAAGAAGAGGAGGAAAGGACCCTTCCTCTTCTTTGCAATGGGGAGGCTGGGGGGGGAGGGCTTTGCAACGAGCGGGGGAGGGGAGTGACCTTGGGGCATCCCTTAGGAGGAGGAAGAGAGAGCCTAGATTTGCAAGGATTTGGGGCGGGGGTCCCAAGCCCTTGCCAAGCCATCCATCCATCCATCAACCTCGCCCATCATGCAATCTTTGCAAAAAGCAATTTTGTGAAATTTTTCCCCCCCCTTTCCTTTCTTTTGTTCCCCCCCCCCCCCGCAGAGGCCAGGTAAGAGAGAGAGAGAGAGCGAGCGAGCGAAGGCGCCGCTTGGCATGCTGGGGTTTGTAGTCCTCCCCCGGAAGCCAACGAGCCAGGTGAGAGGTGGGGGGATGACGTCATCGGAATGCCCGGGCAGAGAGCGGGCGAAAAAACCGGTCCGGGCAGCTTCGTGCATGCATGCAATCTCGGCGAGAAGGGGACGTGGGTTGGTGGCAAGCTTTCCAGTGGAGGGGATCCTGCTGGGGAAGGGGGCTC